CTTATAAGAATAATGTTGTTGTTTGTTCTAGACAGCAATTTTGAAGTCAGAAAAATGAAAAGTTATTTCTTACATGAATAAAACATTAACCGAGCCCTCTAACCAAGGGCTTTAAACAAATTCAAATCTTCTACCATGATTTGAATGCTGTTGGTGTCTAGTAAACATTAGCCACTAGTAAGAGCAAAAATAATCATATAATTCAGAGACTACTCATTTCTATAGTTTTCTCAGCTTGTCAGATATTTTAGGCAAAAAACTGGAGATATGGGAAGTTCCAAAATTGAGACCGAACCTCTGAGACTTTTAAGACTATCTCGACATAGGTAAATATTTCCCATGTAGATTACTAGATTGGTTTTAAAGGAAAGGAGAGATGATATTTTGTAGTCCAAGTACCCATTTCTTTCAAAGCCCAGCATTTTCCTAGAACTTTCAAAAGAACATTAACAAAGTAAGAATCAAATCACTTTTTTTTTAAGTTTAGGAAACAACTGGATGGTGTAAGTCACGTAGTTTTCCCAAGTAAATCATGAAGTCTTCCAAACAGAAAAGAGATGTAAAGACACATGAGATGTGCCCTTTTCCAATGAGGGGTGACCAAACATGAAGCTGTGGGTGGCTGAATCTCAGCATCATGGATGTATTCCCTTTAGTCATTGACCTAGTTTAAGAGTAAATACTCCTGTTATGCTTGTTTTAAAATTCTCTTGACATGTATTGTTGGTGTTTAGCTGTTTTCAGGGGAAAAGGGATACAAACTATTTTCACGTTCCTATTACTAATTATCATGATTAAGATCTTGCAACAGTGGTTAAAAAATAATTGGAAATGTGAATTTTCAAAAAGAAAGTTGAATTAAGAGATTCTAATTTTCACTCATGTGATCATTCTCAGACATATCTGGTATATCTATTTGCAGATGGTACCAATATGTAATAAGTATAAGTATTTATAAAATTCTGTTTTGTTTAACAAATGTATTATATTCCTAATAAGTCTGAACTTCTTAGAAGGGTCAGCATTATACCTGTTTTGAACATCAGAATGGTATAGAGAACCCATGGCTATAAATGTCACCCTCATCCCTCAATCCCTAATCATATTCTCCCTGCTTCCTCAATGGTTATGGGGGACAAGGACAGATTAAGCTTTGAGAGAATTTGTAAGTTAGAAAGCAGAGGAATAAATCATAAAAGCAGAACTTTTAGGTTGAAGGAACAGCTTGCCTGTATGAGTCTGGAAAGTCTTAGAAGTTCAGCTTCAATTTTGAATTTCCTTTATCTCTAGTTCTGTATGTAACGTTCCCAAAGCCTCAGTGTCTGCCAAACCATGGTAACTCACTAAATAACACCTGAATGACAGCAGATGAGAATGCTCTTTCAATTCTACCAGATTAAGCTCTAGCCCCCCACAAGCAAGTTACTGAACCTCTCTAAATCCCAATTTTCTCATCTGTAAAACAGTTATAACAAATAGAGTTGTTGCCAAAATTGCCTAATAAAATAATAGTAGTAATGATATTCCTGTGAACTCTGCAAGCATCGGGACAAGTTTTTCATTAATACAACTTTAGTATTGTGACCAGAGAACAAAACAAGGAAGAAGGGATGTACAGTTTCAATTGGATGTCATATTAACATCTGAAAGAGTTGTGGCTCTTCCAGACAGAATAATATAGAAAAATAAACACACAAAATTCAGATTACCAGTGTTTGGTGATAAAGTCAAAAGACACTATGAACAAATATGTGAGGGCAGAATAATTCAATAGAGTGGCAATAAAGTACTTTTAAAGCCAAAGATGACTGCAAAGAAATGTCCTAAGAGAGACAAATAATAACAAAATCTAATTAACTAGTGAAGCAAGTTACCTACAATCTTAATGGGGAGTGTGGAATTCAGTTTCCCCAAATAGGAAGGAAAAATTAATTAAATGGCCTATCTTGAACCCAGGAGAGGCCAACTCGTAAAAGATAGGAATTTAGGGTTCCTTTTATTTCTGTGACTCTTAAAGGGGATTTAGCATGTTAGTTAGTGCCCAGGGAAGGTCCATCTCATTTCTTGACCAACGCCTCTGGTAGATTTGCAGCCAGTCTGTTGAAATAGTCACCTCATCTTGCTTGTGACATTATTTTTCTGTAATGGGTTAGTGTTTTTAACTGAAAGATATTTTAGAATGAAGTAGAGAGATCAGGTAAATCAAATTTAAGTTATTGACACTTTTGTATTAAGTTCAAAAATAGCTTTTGTAATAATTGGGACAATCTGTATATATTTGGTATTTAAGATATTTGTGACTGGGCATTTTAGCTCATGCCTGTAAGCCCAGCACTTTGGGATGCTGAGGCGGGCAGATCATCTGAGATCAGGAGTTCAAGACCAGCCTGGCCAACACGGCAAAATCCCATCTTTACTAAAAATACAAAAATTAGCCGGGCATGGTGGTGAGCACCTGTATTCCCAGCTACTGAGGAGGCTGAGGCAGGAGAATCACTTGAACCCGGAGGCAGAGGTTGCAGTGAGCTGAGATAGCATCGCTGCATTCTAGTCTGAGCAACAGAGCAAGACTCCATCTCCAAAAATAATAATAAATTTTAAAAATGTGTGCAAGCTTTAAAAATGTACTTTATTAAGATGTCTAACAGGTTAGCCTCCAACATCAATTTAAATGGGTAATTGAGTAATTAACTGTAGGTTCCTGATGTTAAGTCAAAAGGTATAAACTACGTTGGGATGCTTACTAGAACTTATGAATCACCATCTTTAGAAGTTTAATGTATTAGCTTTACTTGGAATGGTTTAAGCATATGGGAAGGTTTTTCCCTGTTAGAGAAATTTGAAAGGTTTTAAAAAGAAAATGGAATATAGCAAGCTCATAAAAGCAATGTACAATAGTTAAGGAAAGTTTATTAACTAAATTGAAACTAGAATTAGTTAATTAAGGGAGGTTGGTCCATTCAATGTGAGTTGAAGACATCAATCAAAGGCTCCCTTGAAAGTGACTGTTAAAATTACTACATTTATAAGTAGACTAGGATTTGTAAATGTATTCATTCAGCATATTTACTGGGTGTCTGCTATGTGGTAGGCACTATTCTGGGTGCTAGGAATATAGCAATGAACAAAATAAGGGCAAAAACGTATCATAATGGGGCCTGGATACATTAAACTTAAGAATTTTAGAGAAAACAAAAAACTATCTTATTAAATTCTTTGCTTTAGTACTTTAGACATTAATGATAAAACAAACTGGCCATAAATAGTCTCTTTATTGCACAGAATTTCTCCCAAGGGACACCAAAAACTCACATTGACAAGTGTCTCCATTCATTCTTTTATCACTAGTGCCTTGTTAATGTTTGACTATCAAAATTGTGGGTAGCCTGAGTGTTGAATCCTCTTTATGTTCTGGAGTTTTTCACATCATTCCCCAAAAATCCAAGTTAACCATGATTTCCTTCTTAAAATGCAAATCTCTCTATGGTTAAAGGCTAGGAGATATTTATAATTTCATGTAATTCAATGAGATTATGTTTTCCCTAATACCTGAGTTAAGGAATAAACTTATAGAGGAAAGAAAGGAAAGTGACTTTGGAGATGAAAATATTTGTGCAGAAAAGGGAAATCTCTGGATTGGGAAAGTATTAAAGTACAAAGCTGGGAGTCCTCAGGACATTCGTGAGCTTGGGCGAACTGGGTGCCAGGTATAAAGAGTGGTGGAACAATGCAAAGAATTCTCAACTATTTCAAAAGCAGCTTCCACCCAGAAAGGACAGTCTGTTTTCCACTTTCCCAGGTGATTATGTCCTCTCAAAACCCAGAAGTCAAAATTACTTTGTTAAAAAGTTCCATTTGGATAAATAAGGTTTCTGCAAAATGACCTGGAAACTCAATCACTGTCCACAACAAAATGCATCTTAGTTCTAACAGTCCGCTTGCAACCAGTCTTTTGAAACATGACCTATTTGTAAATTGACTATTGTGTTGATAACCAAAACTCATAAAAATCACACCCAGGGCAACCACAGCAAAGTGTAGAGAACCAAAGCCCAGTAATGGCTTAAACTATAAGTTTGCTGGGCCAAGCCCAAAGCTAAGAATTCAAGGACTTTTGCAACCCATACCCATTTTTCAGTTGCCCTTATGATAGCAGTTACAATTCACACTCTCCAAAAGTTCAGGCAATGCTGCTGGCCCCTGTACCATCTCCTCCTCCACCAACTGAACAACCCTAAGGACTGTAGCTAACTGTGCAGTCCCCACTTCGATATTTAGAGATCAATCAGAGAGCAGGTAGACGATTCTGGAACAGAATTGTATAGTGGTTAACTCCTCAGGCCCTAGAGTCTAAATGAACTGATTTTCAACCCTAGCTACAATTCCCTGACTGGATGCCCACAGGCAGTTTACTTTAATTCTCTTCACCTTGGTTTCCTCATCTGTAAATGGGGATTATAATAATATCTACCTCTGAGGAGCTTAAATGAGATGATGCATGTAGAAAAACATCATGCCTGATAGAGTGAGTGCTCAAACTCATCCATGGGTTCCCTAATCCACAGCAAGCACAGAAAAATATTTGTACCTTCTGCCTCCAGTATGCCACAAATGTAAAGAGTAATTACGCTGACATCTTGGGTGACTTAGGTAACCGCTTTCTTACCTCAACATTACTGCTTTCTTTTTTCAACATTAAAGAAACTAAGAAATAATCCAATTTCTATTTGGATTCTTGAAATGCTGGGATGAGAGACCGGCTTATAAACACTGGTCGAATAGCTGACAAGGATTCGGCTTTATTCTAGTAAATAACAATGTCATGAAAAAGGAGTTATGGAAGAGTTATGAAGAAAAAGTGTAATGTGCTAAATTATAGATCTTAAAATCATCAGTTTGCTTTCAGACATTCTGTCCCATACTGGAACAAACTACCTCTGATAATAATTCCTTGAGAAAATGATTTTTCTAACTCGACCCATATAAACCAGGCTGAGTTATTAAGGAGAAAAATGAGTTTAATAGTATAGCATTTGATTGCGTATCATCCAGGAAAGGTGTCCTGTAAAAAATGTTTTGATTATTAATTGACCTCTGGTAACTTTAGTGTTGTAAATACTTGTATTATATGAGGTAGACAGTTAAAAAAAAAAAACTCTCCATTAGACAGACTTAAAATTTTGTAATAATATTTAAGAAAATGATAACATTATGAAAAAATGAAATATCTGATTAATGCTTAACTTTGTACAACTCGAATATAAACTTTAAAAATATTAGAAATTATAACATTTGAGTGCATATAACGTTTTGTACATTAGGATGAATTGCATGCTGTCCTTTTCCTCTTTGCACTTTCAGTCACCTTAAATAAACAAATATATACAGCCGACACAGAACAACAGTGCATCCAAAGCAAATGTGCATTTTAAATTATTTCTCCTGGCCAAGTCTTTTTTCACTTAGCATTTTATATTAGCATTTCTTATCATCCCCACCCTTTCTTTGACAGTTTGTAGTTCTCTGAACCAAACAAGCAACAGGTTTAGATTGGAAGAGCAAAATCACTTAGGAGAAAGTAAAACTTTTTTTAAAAGGTTGGTACAAATTCCATTGATTAAACAATTTTATAGTCAAAGATGAGGAGGAAGCCGACTCTTCCAAGGGCCTACTTATGGGCAATGTTAGAAAACAATAGCCGGGCAGGCTGGGGGCAAGTTCGTGTTTTTGACTATCTGGGAATGGGTATTTCAGTTACACTGTGCTTGCTCCAGCTTCCTCCCAAAAAACAAATTCCACCCCTGCCTCCTTCCTTACTGCCTGTTCCCCATCTCCCACCCCAAGCTCAATGTAACACTTGGCTCTTTTCACAGTTTCTCATTACTAAGTTTTAAAAACATTGCCTAACTGATAATTACAATCTGAAACAATTCTTTTGGGGGAGCCCTGGGCTATTGCTGGCTGGTAATCTTTCAGGAATGTCAAAGAGAGGGGAGGGAACTTAGAAACTTCAGAGACAGGGACTTGTGTCCCCTTTCATCCCTCCCTTCCCCACTCCTGGCTCCTAGCCTGTCCCTTGATCACCATCCTCCCTGAGGCCCACCATCTTCCCTCCTGATGGGACTCCTACTTCTTGGTTCCTATTCCCTCCTTTGTAGCTCTTACCTTAATTGTATTGTTCCCCACTCCTACCCATTTATTCGAACTGGGAAATCACCTTTCCATTAGAAGGGCATGTCTGAATTTTGGCAAATTCTGTATCAATGAGAATCAGAAAGGGCTTTTGGGTGGGCTACCTCCAGCCTGAGCTAATGCACCTAGGCATTAGCCCCAGTCAGAGGCAGGCCTTGTGCTTTCTCATTATCCTTCAGGGGGTTCCATTTGGACTAATTCTTGTCATTCCATCCATACCAGCTCCCCTTGCCCCACCAGAAAAAGCAACAATGAAGGCAGCGACCTGGGCCCTCCAGAGTGAGATGAAGGTTGCCAGTTCCCAGTGCAGGAAGAGGCCAAGGCAGAGCTGGTAAATTCACAGAGTACACAAATGGGTGAGAGGGGCATGCATGAGCCCACCTGTCTCAAAGCTCTTCTATAGGCAGGACCATTCCTGACTTTACTATTCCTTTTGCCAATTTCCCTATCAAACACTTTCTGTGGGGGAGGGCACAAGACATTGGCTATAACATGGCCAGAGACCCCACCTTCTTTACACAAGTAAAAATCAACCAAACCGTGATGCTGTCAACGGCGATTCTTCCTCCCACATTGTTTCCCTTTTAAAACTATTGTTTTTTCAATTCATGGAGCAGTTGAGAAACGGGTATGCATCTCGCCTCCCCTCCCCTTCTATCAAAACCGGAAATCGAAAGCGAGAGAGAGAGAGAGAGAGAGAGAGAGAGAGAGAGAGAGAGAGAGAGAGAGAGAGAGAGAGAGAGAGAGAGAGAGAGAGAGAGAGAGAGAGAGAGAGAGAGAGAGAGAGAGAGAGAAACACACACAGAAAACAAAAGAAATCTTCCTTGGCTTGTTTTTCCAGGGTGGCCAGGCAAGGTGTGAAAATCCATATCTCCCTCTGAGCTGGCAGGTAAAAGGTTCAGGGAAGGCTGCGCTCCCTCCTCTCCCACCAGCTCTCACGTCCAGGCTGTTCCCTCACCCTCAGCCTCCCTCCGTGCCAGCTTCCTCCTCCGCCTCTCTGCAGCCAGGTCTCCCCTGCAAGACGGACCTTGGCCCGCCTTGGTCCCGGGCCGAGGTGGCGGGAAAGGCACCGCTACCTGCAGCCGCACGACTCTACCACCATGTCCTCGTACTGCTTGTAGACCACGTTATTACCCGCGTCGATGTACAGGATGCTGATGGGAGTCAATTTGGTGGGCACGCAGCAGCTGGGCGGGGTGGAGCCGGGGTCCATGGAGTTCATCAACGTCTGGATGATGGCGTGGTTGGTGGGCTCCAGGTGCGAGCGCAGCGGGAAGTCGCATACACCCTCGCAGTGATAGGCCTCGTACTCCAGGGGTGCGATAATCCAGTCGTCCCAGCCCAGCTCCTTGAAGTTCACGTGCAGGGGCTTCTTGCTGCAGCGCAGCCTGGACTTCTTGCCGTGCCGCTTGCCATGGCGGCTGGCGAAGGCAGTGCGCCGCCGCCGGCGGCCGGGCGAGGGCAGCCAAGGCCTGGCGTCCGGGGCGCCCGACGGCGGCGGCCACGACCCCTCAGCGGCACTGCCCGGGCCCGCAGCCTCCGCCGAGCTCAGCTGCTCGCGCATCTCGGCGAATAGGTTCTTGCGCTCGGATCTGGTGAACACCACGAGCAGGGCACGCTCCTGAGGGGGCCGCACCCTCCGGCCGAAGCCCAGACTCCGCAGGTCCGGAGGTGGCGGTTGCTGGGGTCCCCGCGCGCGCGCCTCAGCCTCCCCGGCGTCCGGCTCGCCCCACGCGGCCCTTAGCTCCAAGCACAGCTGCTCCCAGGGCTGGTGGCGCAGGCCCTGCCACACGTCGAAGACTTCCCAGCCGGTCGGCGGCGCCCCCTGCGGGTCCAGGGTCCGCGCGTCCAGCAGCTGGGGCGACATGCAAGGGAAGAGCTGCACATGGAGCGGCCCGGCTGGTGGCCCCCAGGGCGCTGAGGGCGCCTGGCGAAAGAGCCGCAGCTCCGCGCCCACCAGCTCTTCTTTGTCTGAGAGCATGGACACATCAAACAAATACTTCTGTCTCCGGAGAGGAGTGTGCGAGAGATCGTCTGCGAGATAAAAAATAATTACAGTCAGTTTCACTTAAGGGGGAGATCAGCCCGGTGCTCTTCAGCCGCCCCCGGGAGGAAAAGGGCGGGGAGTGGGGGCAGGCCGGCCGGGGAGTTCTGCTTGGCCGGCCCGGGGCCTGACCACCCCGGCTCCCCATCTGGCTGGTGCATGGCTCGGGGAGGGGAGAGCGCCAGGGCAGGCCCCCTCCTCCGGGTCAGCTCCGGACGCTCAGGGCGGAAATCGGTGGCTGCTGGCGAGGCGGCGTCGGCCTCCCGGGTTTCCCCCCAAGAGGCTTCATAACCACTAATGTGCCCTTTGTGGTCTCGAGCCTGGGTTGCGCTTCCCCCAGACCTCCTCCAGGCTGGGCTGGCTGTTCTCGTTCACGTCTCAAATGTCACCTTCTCCAAGTGGCCACCCCGAGCACCCTGATCTAAAGTAGCCTCTTCGGGTGCCTATCACAGGACTGGCTTATCTTCCTGCTATTTAGGATTATCTACAACTACCTTGTTTATTTTTATCTTCCTAGTAGTTTGCCTTTCTCAGCAACACTCTGCCCGCCTCCACCAGCCCAAAGGAGCTAAGTCGATATCATTGTCCACCTTGCACCCCTCAGTGCCTAGGGCCGTGCCTGACCTGGAGCACACGCCAGTTACTTAAGTGGGAAACTCCCACGCCAGCGAGTCTTAATCTGGCTCGCTAGAATCTCCTAGAGAACTGAAAAACTGCCAGGGCCAGGGCTTGACTCAGCCAATTGAATCAATATCTAAGGACAGAATTGGGCATGGGGTTTTTGTTTATTGCTTGCTTTTTTTTCTTTTTTTGACTCCAAGATGATTTAAAGGTGCAGTTCTAGTTTAGACCCACTAGTCTGGGGAAACATTGCTGCCCATCAGGTGGTTTTGGTGAGTCCAACACAGTGCACGCAGAATGAAGAGCTGATGAGGGATTTATTTATTCGCCAATCGTTAAACAACCAACAAAAGAGCAATGAAGTTTTAGAAGTATTGGAAGCAGGGAGTGACAAATGAACAAAATGTACACCTTCCATCTGTCCATTGAGAAGATCCTGCAGTCAATGAGAAATATATATCTACCTGGAAGGCGGAAAACCTCAGCCAGGGACAATTAAACGCGCGTGCACACACACACACACACACACACACACAGACTTTCCGATCTCTCCTCCCACTCCCAATCTAAAATTCTCTTGTTTTGAAACTATTCCTGAAGATAAAAGGTTTGGTTATACATGAGAAAAAAAATTTGGGGACAGGTGAGATGGGGAGTGTAACAGGCTTTTAAAATCCAAGGCAAATTCTTCAGAACCAAGGCAAAACTGGACTTCTTTTTTGACACATTTGTACATGAAGCCAACTCCACTTCAATGTGCAAGGCGGAAAGCTAACCAGATTTTCCTGGGCTGCCTTCCCATAAAATATTTACAACCCAGCAAATACAAAAATCCCCAAAGCCCCCAGCCTTCCCCAGAAGCTAGTAAAGTTTGGGTCGATTTCAATAGTAAAAGTGTCACTGGGCTCTGCGTCCCACCCTCTCTACCAGTCCAGATGTAGCCCGGGGGCACTGGCTCTGGAGCCTCAGCCACACCCAGTTTGTATTCAGGGCTGACCGTAGGACTGGCTGCTTCACTCTTACACACATGCCCCAACCTGAGATGGAGTGTGGGAAGGGTTAGAGAGGTGAAAAGGGAAAAGCTGCTGCAGGCAATTGATTTATGGAAGCCAAGACCTTCAAACCGACCAGGGTCACATCAAAATCAGGGGGAATTCAGCACACTTTCTTCTCCTTCAAAGAAACCTGTGTCTGACAATGCTCAGCCACCACCCAGATCTCTGGACCTACTGCCTTAGGCTTAGCTTCCTGCCTCTCTCCCCAAACTAGGGATGAGATGAGAGCAACAAATCTAAGGCACTTTCTGCACTAGCTAAATGTTATAGGGCTAACATATTTCTAATCAATATCCATCTGCACAGAACAGTTCTGAAAGGTGATTGCTCGTATTATTCCCATTTTACAGATGAGAAAACCAAGGATTGGAGAAATTAAGGTATTGCCAAAAGTCAGACAGCTAGGAAATGATGAGGCTGAGATCCATATTATGTCTATTTAATTCAGAGTTGGAGCATTTAGCCCTTACGCCCCATTGCCTCTCCACTGTAGTCCTAGTACTAGACTCTAAAAGTAACCAGAAGTGGCCAGGGTATAAGAAAAGGAGAATAGAATATACATTATTTGCAGGGCTTGCTAGAAATAAAATCTAGGCTCCCTTAGGAAATCATTTCCATCTTTGCTTACATAACTCTTGATATGGTTTGCCACTGGCTGGAGTGCATTAGGCAGGTGTAAAGAATTGATTTATTTCTCTCTCATGCAATATAAGGGAATCAGCCTGCTTTTGTTTTTACTCTTTAAAAAGATGTGTAGGCTAATAAATGATTAATTTGCACAGCTGAGTTAAAATTGAGGCAAGCATCTGTAAAGAAAGGTCTCTTACTGATTCTGCAGCCTTAAGATTTCTGATGAACTTTCCAGCAAGACCAGCCCACACCTACTCTTTCCAGGTTTCAGGGCAAGAATGCAAATGGGACTTCAGCTTCTTCTATTCTCTTCCCACACCAGCTCCAACACATACTTTAGGGGCCTCACCTGTGTACATGTGGATCCCCCCCCCCGCCCCCGCCAGCTCACAGCTTAAAGCTGTGCACAGTTTCACAGGTGCACATATCAGTGGTGTGATCTACCTTTGGGAGGACTGAACAGATGAAGAAGCTGTCCAGACCCTGGAAGTGGGCTCAGGGATATTTGGGTAAGAATTCTGTGGCTCAGGTAGCTGGAGTTTGGTCTGGAATAGTGACTCTCAAAGCCACTAAATCTGCAGTGGTCTTTAAATCTGCATCATCAACATCACTTAGGCACTTGCCAGAAATGCAAATTCTCTCTGGCTCCAGAGGCTTGTGGTAGGGTCTAGAATTTGCATTTCTAGTAAGCTCCCAGACATGCTGATGCTGCTGGTCCAAGGAATCACTCCAAGAACCACTGATCTAAGTGGAGTGGGGGTTGTCCTCTAAGTTCTTTGAATTCATCACTGAGTAGGGAAGAGCACCCACTCTACTGCTGGGCAGCATCTAAGGTGGTACACACTGGGACCACGTCACTTCTACCTCTCCCAGACCATTCCAGCTCCCCAAAGCCACCCCCATTTTTTTATCCTTTCAACCACAAGTTCTCTCACTGGGTCTCCAGAACCTCTAACCCCTGAACAGAAGGTCCAAGAAGGTGGCTCCTCTGTGCAGCTACCCTGCAGACCACATTCCCCACCTGTCTAAACCTGCATCACAGAAATAGCTCAGAGGAGGTATCCAACCTGGGGAGTGAACACAACACCTTACACTGTTACCCTGAAGACACTTTGCCTGCTGCCTGCTGACCTGGCATCACAGAGCCTGGCTCAGCTGCCATGAGCCATCTGTGGGCAAAATGCCAACTTTTCATGCTCCCTTCCACAAGCCTCCGCTCCCATTAAGTCTTGTATAAATGAAGACTGATGTCATCAAATGATCCTCTCTCCCAGGCCTTTGACTAAAAAAAACATGCACTTGTCACTTCAAAATCTGCGGCACTTTCCCACAACTTGGAAGTGAAACCTATGCTTTGGGCCCTTAAATTGTAATTGACCAGCAATACGTGATGGGAGCTTTTTATTTCCCTTTTACTTTGCATCAACCTGGTTTGTTACAGCTGATTCACACTTCTGTTAACAACGTTTGCTGAATATTAGACATATAAACATTTCCAGTTACAATTGCTGGATTTGGGCTTATCTTTCCCTGGCAGGTGGGGAGAGAAAGGAGGGGGAAGATAGAAAAATAAGAAGGAAGGAACAAACCGTTGCATATTAGAAGATACTTCTTCATAATGGTCAAAAGGTTGGTAAAAGGCTGAAAGCACCTCAAACATATATTTCTGGTGTAGAATTTAGGAGACTTTTAAAAGGGGGGAGATGTTGGTCCAAGGGTACAAATTTTCAGTTAGGGTGAATATAAGGTAAGAAAGAAAAATTAATTTAAAAAAAGAAAGAAAGAGAAGGAATGGTACCTATGTATTTGCAAAGTAGGTACCATTGCACTTATTTTAAATGAGGAAACTGGCTTAGAAAGGAAAAGGACATCTGTCCACAGTCACAGTACGTGGCTGGAGGAGTGGCAAACTCCAGAGCAGAAAGGAAGGGCCAGAAGCCCCAGAACCTGAGCCCCAGGAGGGCGGCATGAGGGAGGGAAGCGCAGCTGCAGGACTCTGTGCACCTGCTCATTCCAGCCTGCCCGCTTCAGTCCCAGTGCCTTCTGCTAGGGGCTATGACCTTGGGCCAGCCTATAGAGGGTTTCCAAAAACCAGAAATTTCCTTTGGTTGGAGGTGGGAAGGGCTCAGCATTGCATTTTCCCAAGACATCTCTAAGACATATACTCAGTTTGAGGTCCCTTTTGAGAGTCCTCGTTGGATTTTGTCACTTGCTAGTGTGTGCACCCGTGGATCTAGCTCTCCGGACTTGCACGATTCTTGGCACAGCTGACTTTAAACTCCACGAAATTCCTCCACGCGCATCTGGCTCACATCTCTGAGTATGCAGTGACACTGGATAGCTACTGGCCAGGCGTCCTGCCATGCCTCCCAGCCAGGTCCTCCAGAGTCACAGGCCCCGAAACTGGACCAACATTCAGAAAGCCGAGAAGATAGTGGATGTTACCACCCCCAACCCACAAGCAGGAAGAATCACCCATCTTTGCAAGAGAAACTCTAGACGCCTTTCCCCCACCCCCTCATTTTAGAGCCAGCTGCAGAATTGAGGCTTGTAGGGCACCACCTTTGTGCTAGTCACGTGCTCAGAGCTTTGCTGGCCTCTCTCACTGAGTCTTCACAGCGAGTCAGGCCTACTGTGATACTCACTTATAGATGAAGAAATTAAAGATCTAAAAGGTATCCTAA